AAGCTTCCTTACCAAAAGAAAAAAATCGACCGCATCATCGCACTATCCTCCATATTTTTGGAAAATCAAACTTGTTCAAAGCGCAAATTACTATCCATTTTAGGACATCTAAATTTCGCCATGCGCATCATTCCACAAGGACGTCCCTTCGTAAATTACCTTCTCCAACTAGCAGCATCGGTCCCCGGATTAGATGATACACTCTCTCTATCCGACCTATGCCGTCACGAACTCAGCCTTTGGATTTCCCTCCTAAAGTGCTGGAATGGCTGTTCCTTTTTCTATAGCGATCTGATAGAATCTTCAATCGATATTCACCTATACACAGACGCCGCCTCCTCAATAGGGTTCGGTGGCTATTACCAGGGCCACTGGTTCGCATCTTCCTGGCCTCACCAAATGCTCCAAATTCCCCCTCACCATCAATCATCAGCATTATTCGAATTATACCCTCTAGCAGCCGCTTCCCTATTGTGGGGAGATGAATGGTCCGCCTTCAGCATTCTAGTCCATTGCGACAATGTCCACCTCCGCCAAAAAACAATTTATCATAACAGCTAAACATGTACCAGGTTTTCATAACCAAATTGCTAACTCTCTCTCTCGTTTTCTGTTTCCGAGATTTCGAATGCTCGCACCAGAAGCAGATCAACATCCGCATCCAGTGCCTCCTTATTCAGAGATGATATTCCTATAAACCACCCCATGCATCACCTGCATCAGACGTTCATCTCCCTTATTTTAAATGCCGTTGCTCCCAGAACTTTACAAACATATCTTACTGCATGGAATGCATTAAAACATTTCCATTTCCTGTACAACACATCATTTCCAGATTTTTCCTTGCTCACAATCACTTCATTCATCACATATTTCCATTTATACAAAAACATACAAGACAGCTCCATCAGAAGCTATTTAAGCAGCATCCAATTCTTTCACAAGTTAATTCATGGGTCTACATCAGATGCCATAGCAAACTAGCAAACCAGCCTTCTTATTAAAGGCGTCCAAAAAACCCACCCCTCCCTCCCAGACTCTAGGCTGCCCATCACACACCATATACTGTCCAAATGTATCTCCACCCTCCGTAAAGGCTACGTATCCACACACACACAGATCATACCCTGGATGCTATGTTCATACTTTCCTTTTTCGGATTCTTAAGATGTTCCGAAATTTCCATAACTTCATAATTTGTGCTCAGAATCCAACCCACCATATCAGATCTAACTTTGGTTGACGGGGAAACAATATCCTTTCTCATCAAGCAAAGCAAGACAGATTAATCCCGCAAAGGACACCCCATTTACATATTCGACATCCTCTCCTCTACACTCCCATTCCAAACACTCCTAGCATACATTCACTACAGGGAAACCCCCAGTAATACTTTGGAACGCTTAGTTTAAGCAAATTTGATGAACGTGATCATGCATGTTGAATCTGAGGGAATTCGCTCCAGTATGGAAGGCCGTTGGGGCCAAAACGTCTGCAGCGCGTTGTGTGTGTGTGTCTGTGTCAGGCCCGTTGAGGGGTGTCAGGTGTGGAGTGAGCGACGTATCTGAGTAGGGGCGTGTGCGCCCGAGACATACCTGAAAGACAGTGCGGGGTGAGTTGCGCGCGACATAGGCTACCTGAAGAGCCAGGAGGGATGCGGGGGAGAGGGGTGTGCAATGTATTTAACGACCGGTTTGCGAGAAATTATCAATTATTTGCGGGCATTTGGGAGTCTCTGTGCACTTGCGGGATATTCCTAGTCTTAGCAACTGGATGAATGTAAAGGAGGATTAAGCAAAATTGTTTCTACTCTATAACTAATGTTCTAAACTCACAGCAATAAAACTTTACAAAGAGTGCAACAGTTTGTATTCTATAGTATATTATTACAATTTTTCATTTTCCATATCTGCAATTCCAGTATTTTGGCATTTTTTTGCAGTCCACTTAGAATCCAACATGGAAATCAATGTTTTCTTTATTGGCATATATATATATATATATATATATATATATATATATATATATATATATATATATATATATATATATATATATATATATATATATATATAATAATATGCCCATTTCACATAGTACTGTCACCCCAAAGCTCTGGCCACCACAGGGGTGGTCCCAGAGCTTAAACCCCTTTTCCTTCTAGTAGGAGTCTTCATTGCCCAATTCCCCTTTTCTCGACTCCTGCTAGAACCAGTCTTTGATAGCTCAACTTCCCGAGCTGTGACTACGAGCACGAGTCACGTATATATAAAAACGCACGGCACGTGTGTATATGTACATGGATATATGCCTATATGAATAATATGTTTATTTGCCTGCTTGCACCCACGCACACGGACATCAAGCTATCGAGAACTACCTGATCTCATTTCCCTCCTAATGCTTATTGACCAGGCGGGAGCCTTGGGCTCATCTATCACCGAGCTCAGAGTTCTGTCCCGGGACAGCATGCCAAACTTGCTTAAATAGTCAAGCATTATCTAAGTGTGAACTCTTGAAGTGAAGTTTCTTAAACTAATTTTGAGAGGAGCACATGATAGGATTGACTACAGCTGATCCCTATCACTAATAACTAACTAGCCAATCGGATCACTCTAAATTCAATATAAATATCAAGCCTAAACTTCATTCCTCATCTTCGTTTTGGAAACCCCCCCATCCATCCCTTCTCCCTCCTCCTCATTACGGGCGACACGTTGGCTCGGTGGCTAGCACTGTTGCCCCACAGCAAGGAGGTTGTTGGTTCAACACTAGCTGAGCCAACCGATACTCTCTGTGCGCAGTTGGCATGTTCTCCCCGTGTCCGCGTGGGGCTTCCCCATTTACCGCGGTTTCCTCCCACACTCAAAAACCATGCAACAAAAGTTAAAGTCACAAGCACTTACTACAAACCAGCGCAGCTAGCGGTCTATTTTGGGAAGCTATCGAGAACTACCTGATCTCATATCCCTTCTAATGCTTATTGACCTGGCAGGAGCCTTGGGCTCATCTATCACCGAGCTCAGGGTTCTCTCCCAGGACAGCATGCCAAACTTGCTTAAATAGTCAAGCATTATCTAAGTGTGAACTCTTGAAATGTATTTTATAGAAAATACCAAATAATTTCTGCAGTCAGTGAAACTAACCAACATGTATTTTGCACAATACTCTAAAAAGATATTTACACGCATTTCATTAGAATTCAAGTGTTATCTAAATGTAGCTTTTTTATTTATTAAAAGAGGTTTAAATCCTTCTTTTACTTTAGAAGAATATAAAAATGTACTGTAAATAATTTGGATAGATGAATTCAGTGCTTTACATTAACTTTTTTGATCACCAGTTTCAGTGGCTAGTAGATTTCCAACGTTACTAGCCACTCTGCATTTTCACTAGCCACAATTTTGTTGTTGGGGAAATTTTTTTATAGGCATAAATATGACTTTTACATGCTAAAATTACTTGATTTAGATTTTGTGTTATGTCCACATGCCTCCTCATTCATTTCATATTTTGTGTGTCGTGTATGAGCAAATGGGTCATGGCTTCATAGTGTTATAGTGCAATTAGTTTAATTTAAAAGTGTCAACACAATATAAATATAGCTGTATACATTTTATTTAACAAAACATTTCTTAAAAAAAAAACAAAGAAAAACAATTGACTTTAAAAAATAATTATTGTCATGTATCAAAAATATGCACAGTAATATGTCCTTGCTAAATGTCTCTCAGATCAGTTAACTACACATAAATAAAGAGTTAATTTTACATTAAAGCAAATGTTGTTGTAAAAAAATGATAATTAAGCCATGAAAACAAAAATAACCGTAAGCAAAAGAAACCGGGTGAAAAACATAGTGTGAAAATGGAGGGATGATTACACGGTTAAGGCCAATTAATTATCTGTTCAAATCGAAAGCAACTGGTGCTGCTTACAAAAAGACATATTTGGAGCTCTTGAATGCATCAAGACTGTGTCTGTGGATGCATTAGCATTACTTTTTTGCCTGACTATTTGAAAGAGATCCGTTCACAGTTGAGTTCTAGGCACGCGTGCTTCAAGGAAGGAAACAGGAGCGCGTATTACATCAGCTGTTAGCGCGAGTGATCATCGTCTCATTCAGTATTCATCTGCTTTCTTCTGCTCGCACGAATGCAATTTTTTTTGTTAGTCATGCTGTTTCTCCATTCTAAGATCACCTTTGCACGCATATTGGGTCGTTCTTATAGTCGAACACTGCTTTTAAGAAAAACACAATTTAAAATTTTTTTTCAACTAGCCAAAGTGGCTAGTGGAGGTGTCTGTTTAACCTGCCAAAGCTGAAATCTACCCGCATTTTGCGGGTTGGCGGGTGTTAATGTAAAGCCCTGGATGAATTAGAATGGTTTTAAAACTTGATTTAATATGAATCGTGATCTATTTCTGATATAAGGGGATGATGTATGAATAAAATAGTGTATAATACATATCAAATAGCAATTATTGCACTAGGTGGCCCGGTTGCACAGTTGGTATCACTGTCGCCTCACAGCAAGAAGGTTGTTGGTTCGACTGGGTCAATTGGCATTTCTTTGGAATTTGCATGTTCTTCTTGTGTTCACATGGGTTTCCCCCATAGTCCAAAGACATGCGCTATATGTGAATTGGGTAAGCTAAATTGTCTATAGTGTATGTGTGTGAATGGGTGTTTCCCAGTACTGGGTTGCAGCTAAAAGGGCTGTGGCGACCCCTGATTAGTAAAGGGAATAAGCAGAAAAAAAAAATTAATGAATGAATTATTACACTACAATTACCTTTATAAGAAGAAAAGATATAATTCTGTTCTCGTCATAATTCTGTCCTCATCTGTCCCAATTTAATTTTAACGTAAATCCTGGACCATAATTACTAGCTTCCATCTGAAACCATGATAATATATTAATTTCTGACTTTCAAAAAAATTCAGCAGTAGTGACTTGCCAGTTAAAACTGACGAGACCCAAAACACAGGACATTTCTAGAATAAACAACAAGTATTTACCTTATAACTCCATATATCTTCTTATAAGGCACTGCAACAAATTGTACTAAGAGTTGAATAAGACATGATTGGCAAATGAACGAGGGGTGTGACAAAGGACTGATCAGATGAGAAATATAAAAAGATAAAGGAGAGGTGAAACATTATAAAAGGAGACTGCAAGACGCACAGAAGACTAAACTATCACAGACATCCAGAAACCCAGCCAGTGAAGAGTCCGAGTAAAGATGTGGTGGAAAACCTGTGTGACTTTACTCCTGCTGATGTATGTCAGAGGTAAGAATTACAGTCTTATGATTTAAGTTCCACCTGTGACTGTTTTAAAATTGAATGAATTATCTTACATTAACATTAAAAATCAAGCTGTCAATATCAACTGTTGAATAGTCAGTTTCATAATTGACTTTTTTCCAATTTCTACTGAATGAAACTCCTAAATGTTGATGCTTTCCTTCATTATCTGTTCCACACTTTCTCTTTTACTGCAGATTCACTTTCTAATTTGCAAGGTAAGTGTTCTTCTCTCTCTTGACATTGAATCATAACTATCAAATTGTTTTGTTAGAAATTGTTTGGATGCTCTGCACTGTTTGTGTCAGTGTGATAATCTCTCTCTCAGTATGTGGACGTCCAAACCCCACATTAAATCCTCGCATTGTGGGTGGTGTGAATGCAACTCATGGCGCGTGGCCGTGGATGGTCAGTCTGCAGGGCAGATATGGCCATTTTTGTGGCGGCTCCCTCATCAACAATCAATGGGTGCTGACAGCAGCTCACTGCATTGTTGAGTAAGACACCTCAACTATAATCAATGGCCTTATTTGGTTGGTGGAAATGTTCTTTAAGTACCATTTTTGTTACTCTTGTTTTTTTCTTTCTTGTACACAGTCAAACCCCATCCAGCATAATTGTGTACTTAGGAAAGTGGAGAAGTTATGTAGCTGATGTCAATTCAATCTCCAGAACTATCAGACACATCATTCCCCATCCCTCCTACAGTAACATAACTAAAGATAATGACATCGCTCTGCTGCAGCTGACATCTACAGTCCAATATACTGACTACATTAAACCCATATGTCTAGCAGATGAAAACAGCAACTTCCCTCGTGGCACCAACAGCTGGGTCGCAGGCTGGGGGGATATTGGAGTTTTGGGCACAGGTGGTATAAGAGGCAGAACCACAGTGTCTGTGCCTTTACCTCATCCTGGCATTCTGCAAGAGGCTGAGCTTAAAGTGTACAGTAATGCAGACTGCAATAATATTTGTCATGGACGGATCACCCCCAACATGATTTGTGCTGGTACACGTCCTGGAGGCAAAGCAACCTTTTCTGTATGATGATCAATGAGATTGTTCTTGTCAAGATACTCCATATGCACACACCTAAACACACTGCAAACTTGAATGTCCAACCAGACTGACTGTATGTTGTCTCTGTTTGATGAGACAAACACAATACACCAAAACAGTAACTGAATAACCTAATCTTTCTCTGTATAGGGGGACTCTGGTGGTCCACTGATGACTAAGTGTTCAGTGTGGGTTCAGGCTGGTGTTCTCAGTCATGGTTATGGATGCGCACAGCCCAATCTTCCTGAGGTGTTCATTCGTGTCTCAGAGTATAAGCAATGGATTACAGGCAATGTCGGTGGAAACCTGCCTGGATTTGTCCTCTTTGACCCAAGATGTTCTCTTCGCAGTAAGATTCCACATCCTTTCATGCCCACACACACACAGTATACAGCAACACACGCTTCTTTGACTAATGTGTGTCTATTTATTTTGTGTAGAAGTTCTTAATAGAGTCTTCTGCTGCTTTGGATAAAAAAAACTGCTGCAGTGAATATGTATATGATGCTCTGGTGAGTCCATACACACACACACTGTTCTTATATCTCGGTGGAGACTCTCATAGACATGTTTCTGCTTAAGTACAAACTTTATTTTCCATTCCCCTACCCCTAAACCCAACCCTCACAGGTAACCATCTGCATTTTTACAGTTTCATACTACATTCTGTATAATTTATTAGCATGCTTGCTCATGAGGACCTCACATAAGTCCCCATGACTCTGTGTGCATTCAGGTTTAAAGCAAGTAAAAACAAGTATACACACACACACACACACACACACACACACACACACACACACACACACACACACACACCCTCAAATGTAACTTTCCTTCCTCAATTGCTGCACTTGTTTGTTTTTGTTTTCAAGATTATACCTTCACACCTGCCTATCACATGATGAAGTCTCTTCTTGACTGCTGTCTTTGAGGCTCTACTTCTGGCCAATGTTGATCTGGAAACTCCTCAGTGTTAGTACTGCAAGACTCTTTCTTACATTTCTTCACAAGTGCTAATATTGAACCTGATGTGACAAGTCTTCTGGCATTCCACCACCACTGCAGATATTTAAAATGCATTGCTTCCAATATGTATAATAGTTTCTCATATTGTAAATGACATAATACCATGGTGATTGAATCATGATAGAAAGAGCACTTCATTGTGTGCACAGCATGTGCAAAAGTCTTTGTGGATTTATTAAAGTAGTTTAGAACTGCACGCTTGTGTCCCCTACTGTATTTTTTTGCTTGTGAATGTTATCATCATCCAAATGAATAGGCAGAGAAAAAAGAATTAACAATATGCTACTGAAATAGAGACAAAATAAACCAACTTATTGAAAAAAAAATTCATTAGATGTACTAAATATTTTTAAAAGGTACCTATGGTGAAAAATCTACTTTTCAAGCTGTATGGACAGACGTGTGTAAGTATAGTGTATGGACCGTTCTATTGGGGTGATATAAACAGACACAGTCCTCTTTTTTTTTTTTTTTTTCAATTTAACAACATAAAAACGGTGGCCTAATTGGAGTGGTTTTCAGAGCGACCGCAACTTGACGTAGGAGTGCGGCTTGACGCAGGAGTCATGACTTTGAGCTGGTGCATCCGGTGCCTCAGTCAAAGTTAATTCGGTGTACCTGGTTATTAGTCTCGGTGTACAAGCTTGGCACTTAAAACTAGCACACAGTTGGCTGTAAAACTATACAAAGACACAAATGATTTTGTACTCTCTGCTTGGTCTGTGTCCGAGTCGTACATGTACGGCTGAATGCTGATCCTCTCACTCCTGCTCCTTCTCTCAGTCTGCCTGTCTATAGCAAACACAGTGCGGGTGAGCTCTTGGCTCCGCCCCTTGTTACATTGGGCGGGAAGCCGAAACTAATTTTCATGTAAAGCAACACGCCCCTAAAACAGCGAGCTGTGTACACGCCCCCAACATGACACACATTAACACATTATAATAAAATAATCTGAACTGTGTTTAAAACTGAACCTAAACTAGCACACTCAGAAGAACCATAATATTAATATTAAATCATAAAAAAGCTGTAAACGATGTACCCTTTAAAAAAACATAGTAAATCCAATTAATAATTTTTTTCAGTGCACCAAATATTTAAAACACAATTTTTTAACTACATGACAATTTATTATGTTAATTAATTTAATGTTCAATTACTGAAATGAATATTCAAATTTCAATGTTAATTCCTTCTAATTCCCCAGCACTTTCCCAGAGAGGCTGATGTCTATAGCATATTGATTTGTGTAAAAACATAACATGTCAAAGCAAAACATAATTTTTTTAAACTAAACTCCTCAAGGAAAGCAATGTCATGATGTTTCTTCAATTACGACAGGCGTGAGCTTATAGTTTGAGTTGTCTGGATCATTCTCGTTCTTAAATCTCTGAGACAAATCTGCGTTTTACTCAGTTTTGTGACATTTTGGTCTGAAAGGTGTCGTTCAAACATTAGAACAGAATCCTCGCGTTACATTCTGTTTAGTTTTTAACTAAATTATATAGTATTTTATATTAAATCCTATAAAGTGAAACCATTTCATATCCGTTTGAGCACATTGTTACTTCTTCACCAACAATAAATATACAATATTGCTGGCTTTTAAAAAGGTAGTTTTTTAGGTAGCAAATCTTTAAAAAGGTGGTCTGTGATTTCAGGCTTTTGAGGGATATTAAATATACAATTCTTTATAACAATACATTTAAAATAGTTTTCTGAGTTCTAGCCCAACTTTATTTTTCTCTAGAAATTAATGTCCAGAGAAACTACTCTTTAGGGCTGTTTTCTTCTAACATGAAACATGTCATGTGATGTCAAATTATAATATGTATATTTAATAATTTATTTCTTATGATCAATACATGAATATCAAATTATTGGACATAAATACATAAATAAAATTCTGAAAATAACATTCATACATCAAATAAAACAATACAAATGCCAGTGGGTTTAACAAATAAAGAGATTGAAGAACGTGAAAAATCTGTAGCGTAATTTGGGTAAAAATCATTTAATGTAAAAAAAAATGGAATTCAAAAATCAATTTCGAATTGTAATATTTCAGAATACATTTAATTGAATTAAATAAACATGATCATATAAAACCCTGTATTCTTTTAATGATGTATATTGTTTTTTGCATAACATGCAGATGTGTTATCATTGCTTTATTTTTAATTTGGTTTAGTTTATTATGTTTCAGTTTAATGTCAAATGTGTCATTTTCATTCACTGGTATTTTAAGACACTATACTATATTTCACCATAGGTTTTTGAAGTTTCTTGTTGGACAGAGTCAATATTTGGTCCCGCAAGCTCCTGTGCAGGTTTTAACTCCGAGACTCGAGTCTGAGGGTTTCAGGTTTACAGCAGCTTTTTTCAGCTGTGGCTTTTATCCACCGCTCTTCAAATGTGCTGGCATTCAAATGAGCCAAACAGAATACACAGAATATATTTAAACAATGCAGCTTAAACAGTCATAATTTCAGGTTTGTGTTTCGAAAAAAGATTTAGAAATAAAACAACGGAAAAAGAGCCTGGGAACTCAAATGACTGTTGTCTTGCCTTCAGCTGATATAAGCTCAGTATCTTCACATGCTACATCAGAGCTAACGCTAACTTATGCTTCACACAACTGATCGCGTACACATTGTGTCTGGATCAAGAAAGACAGATTAAAAAAAGAACAAAAGAAAATTATACTAAAAGTGTAATGTAAAAACTATTGACTATAAAACAATATTTTCCTCATGTCAAAATATGCACATGTACAATGCATATCATCGTCGTTTACTTTAATATGTGTTGTTTATTTAATCTGAATGTTGAGTGTATGAATTATTACTTCAAATATACACACAGGGGTATTTAATTATTCATTTTTGGATAAAAAAAAATGGTAACACTTTACAATAAGGTTCATTAGTTAATGCATTTACTAACATAAACTAATCATGAACAACACATGAACAGCATTTATTAATCATAATTGAACATTTACTAATGCAATATTAACATCCAAGTCCATGCTTGTTAACATTAGTTAATGCACCATGAGTTAACATGAACTAACAATGAACTACTGTATTTTCATCAACTAACGTTAACTAACATGAACAAATACAGTAGTAAATGTATTGTTCTATGTTTGTTCATGTTAGTAAAAGCATTAATTAACATTAACTGATGAACCTTATTGTAAAGTGTGACCAAAAAAATTATGAGATTTTTTTTTTTTTTTTGTGAGAAATGACACATATAAGAAAACGGGCCTAGTAACTCCAATAAGCCTAGGTTGGATTTATTAGAAATGGTCTCGATGTTGATATACTTTTTGTGGCACTGTGAGCTCTCTCTCTTTCTCTCTCTCAAAAAGTTCATATTAGAGGTTTTTTCAGTATGTTTTCATGAGGGATATTGGTAAGTTGGTCAAAGATATAATGTACAAGAACCAAACCATGCACTTTATGAATAAAAAATAAATATTCATTATCATGTGCCTTTTCCGAACCATCAGGGATGCAGAGCATCTTAGACAGATGATGAATTAAAGGTTATTAGAGAAACAAGGCAAAGAGAACAACAAATAAAACTGGGTTTGGTCAATGTATTCATATACTTTAACAACATCTCTGAACAAAAAAATTAAAAGTTAGACTTTATAAGACAAATAAATATAAAAAGTCTGAGAACAGCATTGTGTTGTGTCAATGAATCATGAACCACACATTCGTATCGCATGAATCTTGTGTTTTCCATAGTGTCAAAATTGTGATTTTTAAAAATGTTATTTCCTTTTGCAAAAGAACTTGCTGTGCTGCTATTTGTGTGTAAACTGTGTAACACTAAATAAGGTAAAATACATAAAACACTAAATAATTAATAATTAATTAAACATTAAAGTATTATGAAGAAAACTAAAAACCATCAACATATTTGTTTGTTATTCTGTGAAAGGCAATGGTTACAGGTTTTCAGTCTTCTTCAAAAAAACTACTTTAGTGTTCAACAGCATAAACAAAAATGTTCATGATCGGATGAGCTATTCTTTTAATAACAACTAGACATGCTGTAACCACACGATTTCCACCTCAGTAAAGTGTATTTGCATAGCAGGACATGCAAATAAAAGGTAGGCACTATAACAAACTGTCTTTTCCATCCCTGTCACTTATGCTTTAATATAACTGTTGAACCTGGTCTAACATTATAGAAAAAGAGCAAGGAATAAAATATGATAATAAGAAATGAAGGATGAATCTGCAAATGATATTCTGAAGGACAAAACAAGCACAGTCCTGCATCTTAGCAATGAGAAACATGTGGGTGTTTATATCTGTGACGTTACTCGCATGCTTCAAAGGTAGGATGTTATTTTATCATTTTGTACAGCTGTGCTTGTTGCTTTGTTATCTATTGTGAGTGCAAAGTACTAAATAATTAAAGTTACAACATCTAAATTACACAGACAAAAATAAAAACTAAACAGTTAAACTATTGAATAAGTATTATTACTAATGTATTTGATAATATACATACAG